CATCTTTCTCCCGCAGAGTAACTGGTGGGTTCAAGCCGCCAACCTCGTGGTTTGCTGCTCAGGGTTTATCCTACAGATCCACTGCACTCTTGAATAAAAACTTGATGAAAATGAGTGCTTAATCCAGTGTTTAAAAATTTAGTGAGAAATTGTGTATTTAGAGTTTCAAAGTATCTCCTGACAATATTTATTAACAAGGTAATTAATTTAATAATCTTATTCTGGTAGTGTAGTGGTTACGAATCGGGCTGTGAACCGCAAGGTCAGCAGTTTGCAACTACCAGCTGTTCCACGGGAGAAAGATGAGGCTTTCTGCTCCCGTAAAGATTTACAGCCTCGGAAACCCTGTACAGGGTCGCTATGAGTCAGAACCGACTCCACGCCACACAACAACAACAACATTGACATAAAGTTAATAAAACACACTTAATAACTAACTTTGTAGTGGAGAAACCAGGTAGACATCTATCTAAACCAAATGATAAAAGCAATACCACCAGTAATGGAATTCATGATATGATTTATTGAGAAGACAGTTGTTGTTGTGAAGTGCTGTCAAGTTGGTTCCGACCCACAGCGACCCTGTATAGAGTTTCCGATGAGCCACTGGTGAGTTTGAACCACCGACCTTGCAGTTCAAATGGCTTTGCAGTCTGGCGCATCAACCCACAGCGCCACACCAGGTACTTGCTTTATAATATTACAAATAAATGCCAACAATATAAAGACTAAGGAACCATTCCCAATTAGAGGAGACAAAAAAGCATGACTAAAAGCAACACATAATCCTGGACTGGGTCCTGAACCTATACAGTCCTTTGCAGGCAGCTTCCGACTGAAGGTGTATTCAAGTTATGATGCACCACACTTCCTGTTGTTCATCTTTTTTACTATCTCTGTATTTGTTTAAGGAGCCTTAATGGCACAACAGAAAGAGTGGTGGGCTGCCACAATCAACAGGTGGGCAGTTCGAACCCACCAGCTTGCTCCACAGGAGAAAGATGAAGCAGTGTGCCTCTGTAAAGATTTACTGCCTTGGAAATCCTATGAAAGAATTTTACTAGGATAAGCACTGGACCGCAAGGCTGGCAGTTCAAACTCAACAGCTGCTTAGAAACACTATACAGGGTCGCTATGAGTCGGACTGGAAGGCAGTTAACAACAACAACATAGGGTTGCTATCAGTTGGAAGTGCCTTGACTTGAGTGGGTTTGGCTTTTGGGTTGGTGTATTTTTTTAATGTATTAAAGTATAGCTGTTTGTATGCAATGTTTTCAACCACTGAAGAAAAGATCAGATTTATAATGATACAGATACTAATGAGGAACAACAACAAAGAGGTATTCAACTTACTTCACACGTGACAAGATAGAGTTGTCAGAATTGAACTCTGTTGTATATTGGCAACTAATTGTTTTGTGATAATCAGCAAAATTGGAATGGGGGCTGTGGATTAGATGGTAACACTAGAGCAAAGCTAATTTCTTGATTATAATAGCCAAGTAGCTGTGGAAGCACAGTGGCTCCATAGGATAAGCACTGGACTGTAAACCATAAGGTTGGCAGTTCGGGCCCACCAGCTGCTCCTAGGGAGAAAATTAGGTTTTCTGTTCGTGCAAAAATTTGCTGTCACTGTTAAGTGCTGTCAAGTCGATTTCAACTCATAGCAACCCTGTATAGAGTTTCCAAGGAGTGGCTGGTGAGTTTGAACCGCCGACCTTGTGGTTCAGTGCTTTATCTCACAGCACCACACCAGGACTGTAAAGATTTACAGCCTCGGAGCTCATGCACAAGGTCACTATGATTTGGAACTGACTCGAAGGCATTTAACAACAACAATAATAACAAAGTACCCAAGTGGTTTGAGTACACTAAAGTACTGATGCATAATAGGCCATCACATCACAACTTTCAAATGCTTCAGAAATATTAACAGTTAGGAGCGAAGGATATATAGAAATACTGAATACTATTTCTGCATCTTTTATGAAGATTTAAAATTATTTCAAAATTAAATATTTTTCAATGTTTCAAAGTATTCCTGCTACCGCAGGTAGACAATCACTAGAAAAAGTTTTTCAATCTGTGCAGTCAAGTTCTGAATTCACCTCCAAACCCCATTACTCTAATAAGGAGTCATTAAGTCTACTTTAAAATATTTATTTCTCCCCATCTACATGCCAGAAACTACATGGAACCCTAAGGAAAGGGAAGTGGTAATAATGAAAAGATGGATAACTCAGTCCTTTCATCAGCTAACCTTCTAATCTAGTAGAAAATGAATATATTAAAGACAAACATCCATCCTTGGTTAAAAAAATTGTCCTGTTAAAAATAAACAATCCTACATAGACTTATTTTTTTTAATGAGGTTACTTTGAAATGATTTTTTTCTTAAAAACCATATGCTATTTTCATAATCACTGTTTTCTATTCATCAATTCAATATTCCTTTGAATTTTTTAGGGATCTGTATCAGGGTTACAGCCATTTTTCCTTGCACTGAACCAGCACGTACCCATCTTCATCTGCCTTGTACCTCGCCCTGTTATCTGTTGTTACTTGAAGGTAGTAACAACCCTTTAGAACTCTGAAATTCTTTCATCTCATTTAAAGACTCTAACTCCTTACCTGCCATACTGATCGTTCATTCTACTTGCTAAAGAGTATATAAAACAAACATAACCTCAGTAGTTATACTTTTTTCCCCCAGTGCTCTTACTTCAAACTAGTCTTAAAACCTTTTAGCATTAACACTGCATGTTCCAAAAGAGAAACCTTGTTTGTATGTGTCTTACCCTAGATTATATGTCTTAATTTATTTGGCCTTTTTCCAGTTGCCCTTATAGTGTCTGATTTCAGAGAATTTAAGGAATTAAACTGAGTTTTAGACAACTCCTTCCTTCTCATGAAGATGATCAGAGATTTATTTATTTTTTTTTGTTTCAATATCTTTTAGATATAATTGTTTAAGTTTCTCAATTTGATAGTCACCTTCATGCTTACAGTTTCTAGTTATAAATCATATTTATCTTTAAAAAAATTTTTACTTTATGTATTTTGTTTCAGTTGAGAATATACATAGCAAAACAAACCAATACAACGGTTTCTACAGCTACATACCATTTAATTCTCACCCTCCTTTTCTAAGTTAGTCTTTCTCCATTTACATAAATTCACTGCTCCCTAAGTGATCTGTGTTTATCTTTTCTCTGGTCCTTCCAAAGTCTGCTTTCTTAGTCAACAGAATATGGCTGCTAGGTATCAGTTAGCTCTTGATTTCCACTTCTGTTAGTTCTTCTTTATCGTTCAAAATTCAGAGTAGACAATGTGTTCTCAGCAACCAGTCAGACACTGTAAATCCCTAGTCACTATTGACCTCTGTGCAGATTTTATATACTGAATACACAAAGCATGAGCTTGAAACTGTTCTGCTGCTCTGCTATATCCTTCCATAACAATGATTCCTCTTCCTCTTCCTGTGACTCCTACTCACATCACTTTACTATTGTGGACAGCCCTCAAGGCTGTACTTTTCTATAAATATTATGTTCTTTGTAATGTAGGATAAGTAGCGGGCAACAAGGTTGGTTTGAACTGTAAGGTGGTCAGTTCAAATCCACCAGCCGCTTATTGGAAACCTTATACAAGGTCTCTTATGAGTTGGAACCAACTCGACAGCACTAATCTACAACATCATTTCCTTTAATAGATATGTTTCTTTTTTTCCCCTCAGGTATATGTATTGTCGTCCTTCTTCAATCACAAAATCCAACCAGAGATCACATTTAAAGGCACAATCTGATTTCTTTCAGACCCTTCTGCCTTTAAATAATTTAAGGAAAATGAAAATGGCAGGTTAATAAATAGACAACAAAAGAGAGGTAAGAAAATGAAAAATCATGGTATCTAGAATCATTGATAAAGACCTCTATTGTTTTGTTTTCTTTTTAACTTATTTGGCCTTTTTGAACCTAAGAAGCTCTTATGGGAAAATATAAAATGACTCAGAATATGTGCCAATTATGAAAGAAATATATGTTTATTCCGTTTGAATATATTGGTTAAGATAGAACTACTCCAACACGTCTTGAAATGGTTTATCTGTAGCTAAACGTCTTTTAAAAAAACAAGTGCAGGGAGAAGCCAAGATGCAAAATAATCAATCATGGATACTTTGGCACATGCCGTAGAAAATTGTTGGCAGAAAATAATGGCTTCCCAAAAGTTTTTTAAAAATCAGATAGGATATATAAGGAAGGAATGAATCTTGGTGTAGCATTGCAGGAGAATGCACTGCACTGAAAGTTTGGTTTGAACAGCCAAAAGCTGTTCAAATCTACCAGCTGCTCCTTGGAAACCCTAGGCAGGGTCGCTATGAGTTGGAACCAACTTGACGGCACTTAACAACAACAAACATACAGGGAAATACAAAAGGTTGAAAACTAGTGATTATTCTTGTATTCTAAATAACTAAATTATATTTTAGAACTAGCTCAGGATCAAGACAATTCATCCAGATGTTGATGATACCTAACTCAGTAATTTTATAGATGGTGGTTGTGGTGGTTATGTGCCGTGGAATTGGTCATAAATCTTTTCAGGAGCAGAATGCCTCATCCTTCTCCCACAGAATGGCTGGTAGTTTCAAACTGCTGACATTAAGGTTAGCAGCTTGACTCGTAATCACTACGCTACCAGAGCTCCTTAATTTTGTAGACAGTTGCAGTAATCACAGGTGTTCCCTGTAATGGGTCTTACTTTTCTGCTTTGCTGGAATGCAAAGGCGGTTTGCAAACATTTTAAGTGGCTTGAACATCAAAAGATAAATTTATTTTCTCTAGTAAAAATACCTTAAAAGGAAAACTGTCATTATCCCAATTCCATTCAACAGGGAAATGAATTAAGTAAACACAATAAATATCAACATTCTTGTTTATCGTTAAGTAGGCTTTCCCCTTGCCCCTTTTCCTCCCAGGATAAATGAAAATGGTTCTTACCTAATTCATAGAGATGCCCTTCTACATGAACTAATGCAATAAAATGAAGATCTACTTTTTCATCTATACTTGGTGCCTGGAATAGGGGGGAAAATACATGATGTCAATAGTTACACAAATCAGTAAAATATATATAAACACATATAAATAATATCAAATAACATAACAGAGCACTGAATCAATATAATATAAAGACTTAATCTTTGATACAGAAGACAACGAGGGAGTGACCATGTCTAAGTTTGTGGCAATGCACTCATATGTCAACAAGGAAGACAGTGACTAAAAGGCACATCTTTCTTTGTCTCAAAATTTGATCCAAAGACCAAAATCAAGTTCACCTTGGAAGCCCCAGTGCATAGCACAATGCCTGGTACACAGGAAGTGTATATTTTTTGCCTGAAATGAATGAATAAATTAATTTGAATAATTTTTGAAATTTCAGGTAAGAAAAAAATTTAAAACTTACAAGTTAAAAGAAACTCTTCAAGCTAAAACTGAAGACAAGAAGGTGAATTGTTCCCTTAGTGACTTAAACTTAAAATTCTTGATTTTGAGTAACATATTATAAGCAACTGCAGAGTAAAACATGTACTTTTATTCATGGTGTGGTTGCTGTTAAGTGCTGAGTCCAATACGTTTTTTGCTCACAGCAACCTTGTATAGGGTTTCCAAGGAGTGGATGGTGAGTTTGAACTGCCAACCTTGTGGTTAGCAGTTCAGCGCTTATACTACAGTGCCACACCAGGGCTCCAGATCCAAAATATTTAAAAATCAGTAAATGCAGGAGTAGGGGGAGATAAGAACAAACTGAAGTATAATTCACTGTAACCTATGATTGTTCTCTTGCTTTGACTCTTAAAAAAATTTAAATCGAAAACCATACCTAGCTTTTCTTAGCTGATCTAATTCAACTTGCATGAACAATATTTGCTGCATGCCTAAGACATTCAAATAACTTATACACAGTCAACATACAGTTACCTGGCATTTCCTATAATATACAGTAATGTAGTTAACTATCCTGCTGTGGCACTGTAGGATAAGTGCTGGACCAAAAGGTCAGTTTAAACCACAAGGCTGGTGGTTCAAACTCACCAGCTGCTCTTCAGAAACCCTATAAAGGGTCGCGAAGAGTCAGAACCGACTGATGGAACTTATCGGCAATAATGTGCATCAACTGTAAATGGTTTGAAGTGAAACACAATCACTATTAAAAGTATGCCAAATACAAATTTTACACATAAAAGTTCTAAAGGTAGGAATAAATCAAATTATATTTTATATCACTTAATATCCTTAAGTAACATTACCAGTATTGTAACTCTAATTCATCCTCAAATAATTATTTAATTTTAAGTACTTGTAATATGAAGTTTTCTGATACAGAAATTGAAAGGGATCTAATAAATATTACTACCTTGGGTTTAGAACTCCTGGTGTGGTGCTATAGGGAAGCAATGGACTATGAACCACAAGGTTGCCGTTTCACACCCAGCAGATACTCCTCAGAAACCCTGTACAAAACTCTTTGAGTCAGATCTGACTCAACGGCACTTCACATCATCATCTTGGGTTTACAGAACATTTATAAAACATTTACAGAGAAAGTAACTCATCTAGTCTCACGTCATCCTTCAGGGATCATTTTCCTTCAAGTTATGAGTGAATAAACTCAGCATATATCAATTTAGTAAACCAGTGCTTCCGAACTTCAACCTAAAGAATTCCAAAGTTGGTAGGAACCAAAGTTGTCTAGTTTTACTGTTGCTTCAGTGCTAGGCTCCTCTCTGCTGTGCCCCATCTGGTGGGCGTCCCTCCTACAAGAGGAGACTGTCCTAGGTTTTGATGCTTCTAGTCATGTTTGGGTCTTATTCCATGGTTATACAGTTTTATTAGAGAGCTGTGTCTTCTATTAAGACTAAAACACGCCGTTGCATTTTTCATCTTACAAATACTATAATCCTTCTTGAACATGATATTCCTTCATCTACTGAAAGGCCATGGTAACTGTCAGGAGGGTTTTCTCTCCAGGCTCATTCACGGAGAGAAAATTACAGGATTTTCAGTTTCCTTATTTTCCTGTCAAAGATTACTCAATCCAATATCCTCATTTCACCCACGATTAAGAAGAAAACAAAACCAAACCCAAATCCCACTTCCACTGAGTCAATTCCAACTCATGATGACCCTCTATGGGGCTTCCAACTATAAATCTTTACAGAGCAGACAGCTTCCTTCTTCTCCCATGGAATGGCTGGTGGGTTTAAACCTCTGACCTTACAATTAGCAGCCTAATGCCTAACATAGAGCACCATTTGGATTCCTTGAGACTAGAAGAGAATCCGGTTTTTCAAGGTCAAACCTAGGTAATTCTAAAAACTGTAAATTCAATTATATAACAAAAATGCTAAAAAGAATTCTTAGCCCAAATAAGCAACAATCGTTGTTTTATTCATTTTAAGAAAATTCTCCACTAGGATGTCAAGTATTTAAAAAAAAAAATCTATGAGCTGTTGTTGTTGTTGTTGTTAAGTGCCCCCGAGTCGAGTCGATTTCGACCCATAGCAACCTTGTATAGGGTTTCCAAGGAGCAGCTGGTGAGCTTGAATCACCAACCTTGCAGTTCAAATGGCTTTGCAGTCTCACGCATTTGCCCATAGAGCTACACCAGGACTCCTTGAGATGTTATGTTTTAATAAATTATTAATTAATTTAAACTGATATGTTTATAATTATACATCTTGTGGTTCTTATTTTTCATATTTGCCAGTAAAGAGTATGCTAGAGGTAAAATTAGTATGATGAAAATAAGAAAGCCTGAATATGTATCCCAATTCCGGTGAGCCTCAGATTTTTTATGTTTTGAGCTTTCTGAGATATTTATGCAAAAGTACTATATAAACATTGTGCATTATAGCTATATTAATATTGCATGCAATAGTTACATTAGCTATAAATAGTTACATCCAGTGACTAAAATTTGCAAATCATTGTACTTTTTCTTTGTAAGTGCATACTAAAAAGTCAAAACTCTGAAGAAGGCATGAAAACTTTCACAGTATTTTAGTCAGTGAAGCTCCCAACCTCTCAGACTTCCATAAAACCTCAGGGTCGATTATGAGTCTTTTCCTTTATCAACTTCAGTTAGTCTGAGAGTCTAAAATCTGAAACTATCCGACTTGGAAAAGTATCCTACTAAAAATAAGAACAATAAATAAAAGCAGATTCTAATAAGTCTTTTGACCAACAAGTAACTATATAAACGGCACAAAGGTCATGGACTAGATCAATTTTTGTCTACATTTTTATGTTTTACAAACTCGCCTAATTTAGAATAAAAACTTCTTTAATTATTTCAAGGAAAAAAAGTGATATAAGAATCAATGAAACAGAAATACAAACTACATGTTATAAAATAAAATATATTTTAAATGTACTGCATAACTACATTTTAATGATGGTGAAATGCTTTGGAAAAGGTTGTCAAGAGAGGCTGCACAATTTGAAGAATACAACCAAGGTCACTGATCTGTAAATGTAGAAATTGTTGAGGGGGGGGTGTATGTTTTACTGTATATATTTTTACCAGACAAAAAATATATTACTGTATAGTGGTTAATATATACTAGGCACTATTATAAGTCCTTCATATGTACTGACCAATTAATCCCTATGTAAACTCTGTAAGGCAGATAATATGGTTGTATTCATTTTCACTCAAGAAAGCTAAGGCACAGAGGCATTATGCCACTTGCTGTAGGTTCCACAGCTAGTAAGTAATGGAATCTAGACTAGAACCAGGCAGTGTGGTTCTGGAACCCATGTGTTTAATCACTATGTTTTGAAAATATATATGAAGCTATAAAGCAACATAATTAACATGTATCAAGCAGAAGTAAAATACAAAAACATATAAAACTACAAATGCCAAATCTCATAACATATTCACTTATATTTAGAATATTCTTGAAGGACAAAGGAATGTATTCATTTTAAAATTTTACTCAATTGTGACCAAGTCAAAAGTTACAAAATTGGGTTTTACTCTGCTCATCTAATTCACCTTGTATCTTTTATTGTGCCAGTTTACAGTACAGTAGGGAATAAATATCAACTGGTGAATGAATACAAGAACTGCATGCTGTGACCCAGAATGAGGGAATGATACAGGGAGAGCTGTACCAAACTGTTGGTACTTAACACAAATGAAAAGCGATTTTGATGATCATACTGATATTTGGTAAAAGCAAAAAAAGGAGATGTGCCAAGACTCCACTACATAGTTTGAGCATAGCTCTAGAAGGGGAAAGGGAAGGAAAGAATGTTTGATGCAGACTTTTAATTTTTAAAAAATAATTAAATGTATGTGTAATCAAACTTTCTCTGGCTTCAAAAGTTATGATGATTTATAGAAATGTCAAGTTTCTTATAAGTGTATGGCACACAAGAAAGCTTTTAGATATAACATTTCTATGTAGGCTCTGCCAAACCCCAGGCATTACCTTTAACATTCCAAAGCATCAGAATAAAAACTGTGCTTGCTTAATTCTGAAGTTTATTTCAATTTGTGAAAATTATTAGAACTCCATCACCAGCCTCAACATCTATGATAATTAGGAAGGTTATAAAAACAAGTGGACTTTTACTTTGCTAATAATTTTTAATCTAAGAAAGAGGAATTACAAAATTTGTGGGAAACGAACAGCAATTCACAAGGAGAAATTATTCACCTCCTATTTGGAAGAGATCTTTAGAAATCGAATAGGCAGGGAAGATCAGATCAAGATTAAACCAAATACCTGAGCCACCTCGGGGAATTAAATAGCTTAGATGAAACACCCTACACCATGAAGGATTTAGATTGAGGAGAGAGAAAGTCAAGTGACCCCAGAGCATGGCAAGAGACTACAGTCATGTTCAGAAACATGAAAAAAATTAAGCATAAGATGGAAAAGAACTCAGAAGGAGCAGAGCATTTGTTGAATAAATGTCCAGTCAACTAAATATAATCGGAAGATGAAGTGTAAGAGAATACATATTCATTTTGACTACTGACAGAAACATAAACACCAT